AGACCTTGTCCCTTGCTCTTCAACGGAATCTTTAGCGAACGATGTAAAGGGTTACCCTCAATCTTTAGAGGTGGGGCGGCGAGGGGGGAGGTGTTCTGTCTATATCCATTTGTTCATTTCTATGCAAACTTCATCAGTAGTAGTTTAAAAGAAAGGACTGACATATATAAGTTAAAGTACTCGACAATCAATCCCAAAATGGAACAAAATTAAATGGGTTAGGCTGTTTATATCTTTATTGCCTCCACCCCCCCCCCCCCCTCTCTCCAGTTGCTATAAACGTGCTGGTTATCATTTTTTCTTTTAGTATTTCGAAACTCGATTTTCCCCCTCACGAAATGGAAAGGTCTTTGCGGGTAAAGATGTTTGACTTTAATCCTTTTGGGAGGTTTTAATTTGCAGCAGGCAAATACACTGGTCTTTCTGAGCAAGATGTCGCGCGAGTGCCAACACTCAGTCGGTTTGCTCTTTGCTGTCTTTGTTGTCATCTTCGTTTCTCCAGCAAGTAATGTTATGTCGATACAGTTTCCTTTATATAGCCGTAAAATGGCTGAAAGGGGATTATTGACGTAAAATATCTATTTTATACTGATAACAACGCGGGTTAGAAGAAAATAAAGAGGGAGAGGAACGAGGGAGGGGCGCACTCAGAAGCAATAGAACAGTTTACCGGATCGCAAATAGAGGGCACATTATAATTCTTGGACAACTGCAAATAAGAATATCTAGTATTTCAACGCGTATTTATTTATTTCTTAACAGCTCTTGGTTTCAAGGCCGGAAAGAAAATTAGTTACTACTACCACACCAGATCTGTTCACTTGCAAGAAATATCCTTTCAGTATCATTTCTATGACCGACAGAAAGTAAAGGTCTTTGCCTCCGTTGGCCATACAGAGAGGAGCCAAAATCCTCGTAATGGTGGCGCGATCTGGGTTGACGATGCTATTGAAAGTGGATTCACAGTTTGCGTTGTGGAGTTTCGAGACAGCTCGAAAAGTACTAAGGAAGTAGACTGGATTGCTGTTTAATCCATAGCCTCACAGAACCCCATTTACTTAGTTTATAATTTATTACTATTATTATTATTTCATCGTCATTATTATTACTATTATCGTTTGTCGTGATGTTTCCTACAAATGTTTAAATATGGTTTGATTTATTCCTTTTGAACTTCTCACCCTTAAGTCTGTCGGCAAGGCCTTAAAATGTGTAACCCATCCTCTTATGTTTCAGCGTTTTTCATCTCCTCCAACCATTTTCGTGACTGTCACTCATGGTGTTACCAACCGAAGTCAGGATGCCATGGCCTTGTGGGTCGAGGACTTGAAAGCAGAAAGCTTAAAGATTTGTTTGAGAGAAGCCAAGATCTTCGATGGTCCAAACAAAAAATATAAATTAGTAGGTAACCCCGAGGTTTATAAGGGCTGTTCATGGATATTTTTTTACAGTATACAACTTGCCATCTCCGCAGCATAATTACGCCTTCTGTCAAGTAAGTCATATTTATCCGGATCGAATTGAAGCTCAGATTTGTGTCAAAACGTTTAACAGCGATTCCAACAATAAGGACGTCATCACCGTTGACCACATGGTGACTGGAGGTGAGCAGAAAGTGTCATGGTTATTTTCATGCTAATTTTCATGCTAATTTCAATAAGACTAAGTTTTCACTGTTTTGAAAAACGAGGTATTTGCACAAGTTTTAGCTACTGCACGTCAATCAAATTATAACTCTGTGGAGCGTAGCTGTAATTCTTAACTTAAGGCTTACATCTTATTCTCTGATCGTTTTTTCCTTCCGACTTGATATCTAATGGCAATGCCGTTAGGATGCTGGTTACAAAACGCAGTTAGCTACAAACAGGGCTCAAGTAAATTCATTCACATGTTTAAAATCATGTTTAAAATACTTAAGTCGAACGCTGAATACAACATTTGGATACCTTTTTCCAAAACACTTATACTCTCTTAGTACTTGAACAAGTGAGATGGGAGTTGCCAATATAGGTTGCCATTATTACTGTTTGTGCAAAGCTTTCGGGCCTCATGATGTTAGATGCGTCTCTGTGGAGAGTTCTCGTTCATACCAAGAACCTTTCTGCTCATTAAACGGTTCAACATGTTGGCTTCAAGTAGAACACTTTAGGACAGCTTAAATACGCTAAGCCGCTGGTCTCGTTGTCTGTTTTCTGCATTTTGAGATGTTGAGTTTGATAAAAGCACATGGCATTTTTTTTTTTTTCATTTGTGTTTTCGAGCTTATTCGGTTTCTCCATGATCTAGGCACGAAAAACTTGTAAGTACATCGTATATCTATCTACTTTGTTTGTTAGTTTCTTTGTTCGCTGTATTATTTCTTAATTTCAGTGAATCGTTCGTTGGTTAATCGTTGGTTAGCTAGTTTATTTGTTCGTTCTAGTTCATTCGCTCGGCGTGATGGAAGTTTGTTTGCCAATTTACATGGAATAATAATACAGTTCAACGCATATCAAAATATTCAGTTGTCCTTGATCACGCAGTAGAGACACTGGCTCTCTACACAACATATGACAGTGTATGTCTGTTTCAACAGGAAATGTGTATTCTTCGACTTAACTACACTGTACAGCACCCTGGTAACGGTGAGGGTGAGTTATTTTGAATAAATACTTGCTTCCTAGAACTTTCTTTGTCAGAAAATCCGTCTCCAAACACCTGCAGAGAAAATAAGAGCGAAAGTGTCACTGTTATTGTCAGTGTCAGTGCTAATGGCACCATCGGTGTTCAAAGCAAATCTTGTTGCTGGTTTTCATGGTTATCATGCTGCTGATTGTCATTTCGACTGGTGTCAGCAATAATGTCCGATTCTCGTTTTGGTGTCTGTGGTGCAGAAGCAGTTTTAGCGCCAGCAGAAGTGACATTGTCCTCTTGTTAACAACGCTTTCTGTTTTGGAAGCAATGGCCTTATCTTGTGATTTCAGTGAGTGATAGAGATGGTTGGGACAATAGCTTTAAATTAGACAAAAGTGAATTCAGATTACGCCAAGTATTTTTGAATTTATTTTTTCTGGGATTTCCTTTTTAGAGAGGTCGTCAACACATGCCGTAAATCCCCTCCCTTGGTTATTTCCATTGTGAAGTCATTTGCCTCAGGCCATTTGTGTTTTATCCTGATAAGGCCCTCGGAGTTCAAGTCACGGTTAATCATACTGAAACTAGTGACAAATCTTATGTATACGATGCCGTTGTGTCCTGGGTTGAAAATGTCAACTACGATAGATTTACTGCATGTATGATGGCGGCCGGTTACAACGAAAGACACGCAAATGCTAATGTGACAGTTGATTGGATGGTTTACCAAGGGACACCAGTGGGTGGAGTTGCTGATGAAGTGCGGTTATCGCAATGGTGGACTGGAACGACTTGTAAATCTGTCAGTTTTCTCTCGGTCGGTAAAATGAATTATCTTATTATAAATGTTCTAAAAACGAAGAGAAGTTTCTCCGAAAAACTGGAGCCGTGCTCAGCTCGCAGTTACGACCTTGCATGATTCATTCATTCATTATATATACCTAAAGAGATGAAGTCGTTTAACTTAGGTGTTTCAGAAGCCACAGATGTTTTCACACACAAATGGTATTAACTACAATAGTGTCGGCCTCATACCAAAATCTTCAAAAGAAAATGGCTGGCAAAAAAATTTCTCAGGCAAATTTCACCGTCACGAAAGACTCACGCGTTTGTTATCAACATTTCGAACGACATTATTACGAACGGGATCTTAGGTCCGAGATGCTTCGAACACCCGGGAAGTACAAGTTGGAGGAGGATGTTGTCCCAAAAATCCCGGGCTATTTATGGTGCAAACACTCGATCGACCCTAGTGTCAGTTATCAGGGGAATCAAATTCGCCAATAAAATATAAACAATTCTCCATAACTTGTTGCAGGAATATCTGTATCTTGTGTTTCAGTATGGATCTGCGTGTGAAGAGATAGCATTACTTTTTGCCAGTTTTCTTCCTTCTGAAAGCCCTTCAACTCTGGACAACTTCAAATAACCAGAAGCGAAAGAAAATAAATACCAAGAATTTATCTTATTCCTCTAAGGCTACCTAGAAGTAAATGATAATAAAATGACGATTTTACGCTTCAGTTTCTGTTCCTCCGAGAATTGCTACAAGGTAGCACTGTTGTTGCTTTTGTTGATATTTTAACATGTAAAATTAAGACCACAAGAATATAAAACGTAAAGAGGGTTGATTGCTTATTTATTGACAACAAAAGGCTTACACCGATATTATTCGAAGTTTCTCTCTTTTATACCGCGAAAAGATTCGATCGATACATTGCACGCTCCTCATTAAAATGTTATTAATTATGTGCTTTTGAATGAGGAAGTAAATAAAGTTTTTTTTTGACATATGACAAATGGAGAAAGCTTTTTGAATGGACTAAGTTCCATTTCTCAACCGCCACTCTCAGGGGAAAAATTCTGAAACAGCAACACGAGTAAAAACGAGACTGCCAAGAGCAAACACTATGAATAGTCTTTATTTGTTTTTGTTTTTATTTGTTTCTTGGTTTGTTATTGATTAATTCTTGCCTCTATTGACAGTAATGGTATCTTGATTACCATTATTGGTCTCCATAATGTTTTTTTCTTCTCGGTGGTGGGTTATGTTTCTTTCCTCTCATGGTGGGTTATGATGTTTCATTATTCTGTGAACTGATGTCTTGGATGTAGACCTTCTTAACATTAGTGTATCCAATGCCCCTTTCTTTCCACAAGGAGGAGACCTTAAATCATGATTACTTGAGATGTTCTTTTCTTACTTTTTGTATCGATACAAAGCTGTCAGAGCCTTCTTAAGCTGGTTATCTATACCTGCCTTAAAATTTTCTTATCGAAATTAATTCAAGATATGCACATATCTGAGCTAAGGAACAACACTACTAGGACTACTCAGATTTCATATATTTCAATGCCGCTTTCATGGTTATTGCGAGGCTGGACATTCATTTTTCTTGGCAATCCACGCTGATACTTTCATTTACTTGCGAAGCTCGCTTAACGCCTGTTACTTCATCTGTAGTTGGGTTGACAACGTTGATCCTTCTTTTGAAGCGAGATCTAATCTGCATGAATAAGTTGATATCAAAACGATCTCAAGAACTGTACAACTCTATGTGCTTCGCATTTATACAGTCATCGAATTTAAGTTCTTATTTCAAAGTGGAAGCCTCGTCAGGTAAAAATCTGAGCAAAAAATTTAAAGCTTATAAAGAGTATTCAAATCAAAATGTAATAACATACCTCTGAGTTTCTCACACAGTGAAGGAGGAATATTATGAAGCCCTGTTAAATGGCCATTTCAGAAATCACATTAACGCCTTTAGTAGATTCAAAGTGCTTCCATACAAGCTCCCCTAACCCTAAACCTCTTAGTATTAAATATTGCTGGGCAGCAAAAATGTCCAAACCTATACTGCTATTAATCACAGGTTCTCTACTTTGTCTCTGTATTACACTAAGTTTACCGCCTGGTAAACTTGTAAGGAAGGGTTGGTACAACTTCTTGCTTGAATATCGAGAGGAATACAATTAGATGAAGAAAACTTTTGTCATCTCAGGTATTCGATTGTGAGGCCTTTAATGTCATGTCCTAAATCGACTTAGTCTCAATCTCTAATCACAGGTTCTCTACTTTGTCTCTGTATTACACTAAGTTTACCGCCTGGTAAACTTGTAAGGAAGGGTTGGTACAACTTCTTGCTTGAATATCGAGAGGAATACAATTAGATGAAGAAAACTTTTGTCATCTCAGGTATTCGATTGTGAGGCCTTTAATGTCATGTCCTAAATCGACTTAGTCTCAATAAGCAAAATTGTGATCATTGATGCAAAATAGATATATGTTTTGTTATATTGAGGTTTGGCTTTTACTCCGGAAAACTCAGTTTCACTTTTTTTTTATGTAATTGTAAAGAGGGTCTTTATTTTTATGACCAAATCTTAGAATCATGACCTGATTCCCTTTTTTGTGTCTTTTTCAACCCTTTAATTCCCATGAGTGACCAAACAGAAATGCTTACAATATCAATACAAAATCAGGAAGACGAGTGATGAGAACCAAGAAAAGTATCAATAAGGGGATTAAAAGCTGATCTTATAACAAATTCTCGGAAGTAAAATCAGAAGAAATGTAGAGGAGACAGTAAGGAGAATTACTAATAATATCTTGGGAGTTAAAGGGTTCAACACTGTTTACTAAAGAACGCTGTAACTGTTAAAAGTTCATCAGCTACGTAGCGTGAGTTTTCCAAGTATGTCTTAATGGGATAATTCGAAAGTTGTTTTTATGTCAGGAGAGACAAATTCTTAGTAGACATGGGCTGAGTGAACTTGTACCCTGAAATGAGGTGCACTTTCAGCACCGACTTTTACCTTTGTCAAGATTCATTCTTAAATCAGTGGTGAATCCACCAACCGCCCGTTCACCTTCATACTGTAAGAGCACGGATTTCATTCACTAGAAGGTATATTTAGTTTACCTGAGTGGAGTTGAACATTATGAAAATGTAGGAAAACGCTTTGTGCAGGGGCGACAGAAGACCAAATAGCCACGTGATCCCAAGCAAAGGAATCATCAACACGCATGCCCTGACACCAAGTCTATAAAATCATGAAAAAAAGAGAAAATCAACTTGTTGTGAATTGGCAATATTCGTATAAGATAGCAAAGTAAGAGGCTAAGGGCTTAGATGCATCTTCTACTGACGCCACAAAAATACTTACCTTATTTGTTCACTGATTTTGTCTTTTGCATGCTGCAAGTTTGTCATCTCCTTGATAACTCGCACCAGTATCAATGTGTTTAACTGAGAACAGAAGAAAACGAGAAAAAACAAAAAACAATCTAACTATACAAAGGAAAGAGAAGTTTGCACTTGAGCTAAGTTCTCCTAGTGGCCTCATTGGATGTTCGTCAAAAGTTGAACCCTTCCCCTCCTCGTCATCCCATCAGACATTTCCCAGGTTTTCTTGACCATTGGTTGGTAAATATCCATAAAGCTGGGAGGAGAGGGAGAGAAGCATTGTGAACGCAAACTGTTTCGCCTAGCAACACAAAACAACAACCCGGGAGAGACTCGAGCCAGGACTACTCAACCTGAAAATCTTTCGCGGTAACCGCAGACGGGATCTTCCTACAATAAGGTCACTTCAAGCAAAATTTATATTTCATACATATTTCAGATTTCGTTGGCAACTATTGATTAGAGTCTAGATTAAAAAAGCGGCGAGCGAAAAAAATGCTCACGATGCAACGATAACCGAAGGTAAAGTGTGAAAGAGGGAAACGAAAAAATTTTAAGAATTTAACCTACCAACTCGATCAGTAGAACGAATACAACAAATATCCAGATCATGCCGTTAGAGGATGACATCCAGCAGCTGAATAAAAAAGTATCCGAAACTTTGATAAATTATCGATTAATTAATAATTTTTTTGCGCATGCATGTACGCAATACCCTCCATATCGGGTTTGATGACTAGTAATAAAAAGCAACAAAGAAATAACAAAACAACAACAACAGCAGCCACAAACCAATCAATTAAACCAAAAAAAAAACAAAGAAACAAGCAAAAAAAGTACAACATAAAACGAGGATTCGTGACAGGGAAATCACACGAGGAAAAATCATTCACTTCTTACAAATTTTCACTGATATAGCTTTTAATCCCTGGCCCGGTTCCTGCTGCAATGCCCAACGATATGGAAACAACGACGGCGGGTAGACCTGTGGATTCGAAATTCGAAGAGACAACAGAGTCAAATGATGATGATATCTAAGATGATAATGGCGATGGTAATGTTCATGGTAATTAATGTCTTACTTTTCAAAAGATTATCAAATAGAGAATGGGTTTTTAATTCATAGTTACCCCATGAAAATCCATGAGAAACCTTCATCTTGTCGCTGATATTGTAAACTTTTACAACAAACAGGTAGAGATAAACTCCCTCGATCAACATCCAGCAGAAAGCGGCCATTAGGAAATATTGCACAAACGCTGCTACTGTAACACAGGCAGACTGCACAGGAATGAAAAAGTTGAGTTAAGATTTGGATTAAGGTCATAAAGATTGTGATGATTCTCTTCTTACCTTGTTCTCAACAGCACCACTTCCAGTTAGGAAGATAATTTGACCTGCACCAAGTGAAGCGACTAGACTCACTCGAATCTGAGATAAAGGTCCCCTCATGTCTCTAATCAAAAATAAACAACTGATTTTATTCTACATCAGTTCTATTCTCATTTTATACAAAGTCTGATTATATTTTTATGATTCTACTTGACTGCTTAAATAAATCTAAGCTTTACACATTTAAACTGATATAATCTCTTGTTGGTCTACATGCTCAGCTTGCTTTGGAATTCTTGGGTGGAACTATGTCATGTACTTACGTAAGAACAGCATAACTGATGATTGTTAAAGTGATTCCAACCAGAGAAAAAGACAAGCCCACATATGTAAGAATTTCCAGAGCTGTTTCGTCAGTCTTAAAAATGAATGCAAAAACAGTGATTCAATACCGATAACGGAAGAGGGCTACACACCATTTACCCCAATGCTGTCTAGTCTAAGTTCCTTCTGGAATCAATGTATGTATATGCTTATCAATATTCCTACCTTACTTAAAAAGTTACTGCTGGTTCCCCTGTCAAACTGCATAAGAACTGCAAAGTGAGTCAAATGATTGCAGCTGCACTCGGTATAAAATTCGTTCCTCGATGTTAGGAGACACCCTTGTCCTGACCAACTAGAATGACAGCAGAAAACTCTCAGAATCAGAAGGAAATAAGGAAATTAGTTCATTAATACCAAATGTCTCGATAGATGGATGATCTTGAGATAAATAAGATACTGTTCGCAAGAAAAAGGAAGGAATCTACGTAACATATCGTGGTGTAATGGCACAGAAAGTTGAGATAATGAAAGTTGTCTGATGATCTAAAATTTTCTCTGATCTTTAGACTCCAAATGAGCAAAAAAAAAAAAACAACTGCCAGCTTTATAGACCGCTGAGCACGCGGAAGCCTGAGAAGGATAAAAAAAGGAATAAGAGGTGACCACACAATGTGATGTACCAGAAAATAGGACCTGAAAAAAAAGTTAGGCCCGCAAGGGATTTGAACCCATTACCTCTGCGACACCGGTGCAGCGCTCTACCAACAATTTTCAACTAACAGTTCAGTAGTGTTCTTAGCCTAGCTGCGTTGATCTCTTAATTTCCGTTCTTGATCGCAGTGCAAATATATGAATTTCATATATCTAAAATCATCATTCATCACTTGGATGGTTTATTTGGACCCAACACATTGGCTAGCTCTCAGTTGGCTAGTTAGCTCAGTTGGTAGAGCGCTGCACTGGTATCGCAGAGGTCATGGGTTCAAATCCCATAGGGGCCTAAATTTTTTTCAGGTCCTATTTTCAACTACTAGTACAGTAGTGTTCGTAGCTGCTATGATCTCTTAATTTTATTCAAAGCTGTTTACCTGTTTTTTGAAGTATCCCAAAACACGCAGCTTCTGTTCGGTGCATCCTAAAACCGTAAAGTACCGTTATTATTATCTAGTACAGCGACTCGATGGCTGATGTGGAGGTGAGAGTGCTCTCGCCGGAATTTTTCAGAGCCCTCCTTACCACTTTAGATACATGTAAATATTGTTTACAAAGGACCTTGACTTGATACGATGATAATGTTATTAATAATAATAGCAATAGAAATGATAATAGTAAAGATAATAGTGATGATGATAATATTTATAATAATAATAATAAGAAGAAGAAGAAGAAGAAGAAGAAGAAGAAGAAACAAATCAGATCAAATTAAAACAAAAGATAAAGTTACGAATTCAGATGCAACTCTTTCTTGATAAATTGTAACTTACCGCTAGGTTTCGAAATCTCAACGTAACATTCTTCCGGAGAGTGTGGTTCTTCGGCCATATCGTTGCAGACAGGATATTACTGTTGATAGACAAACGAGAAAAAAAAAGAAAAAAAAAGAAAGAAAAATAATTTAACCAACAAACAGACCGACAAAATAAACAAAGAAAATTTAATAAAAAGGCAGGAAAACAGAATCAAGACGAAAGAAACTAAAATAAACGAGAAACCCAAGTCGAGGTCGAGGAAACTTATGAACATGGCCTATAATGTAGGTTATTAGCACACCAAAGCAGATTTATTTGAGATGAAAGATACTAAATGTAATACTAAGTTTTAGCAAACCTGATTTTATTTACAGGAGCAGAGTCAGTCTGGCCTGTTTGGAATACCTCATGGAGATCTTTGTAAATGACACAAAGTACAACTGATCCTAAGATGTAATAATGAGAACAATTTTAATGCTACGAGAATATTGCGAAAAAAGGACAAGTTATCACGGTGTAAAGACCCTGTAAGTTTACCGGTGTGTTTCATTGGCATGCCCAACTTTGTAATAAGAATGAAATATTTCGACCAAAGGACACATAAACAGGTAAAAGAAAACGAAAGCAACTGGATTAAGATATCAGCCATTCGGTTTGAATGTTTGTTATAACTTGAAACCCAGCCCCCCTCTAACCAATAACAGTGATAATCGCTAGAATAATTTGAATAATACGACAAAAATATATTATTTTCTATGCTTAAAAAAAAAACAAAACAAAAGATATAGCTCTCTAACCGTTATCCAAGCCTGTAACAGGGACACTGACATAGTTTTCTCCTTTATCATCCTCAAATTGTACTCCAGTCTCATTTTTGTGGAAAATCTTCCTGACCAAAATATCTAAATTCAAAACCGCGACTTATATTAAGTTAGGGCCGAAATAAATGCAGATGCTTTCGTAGCAGTCTCAAGTCATCGTCCTCAAAAGTTTTAGGACTAAAATGCTGGAATCCATCACTTAGTAATATATTAACTGCAAGTAGTTTGCAAGGATCATCAGTCAAAGGAGTGTTTTCTGTTCAATTGTCAGATAAAGTGCTGGTCACCATTTTTAAATTAAAAAAACATATCACTACAGTGAATTCAAATGGTTTCTTATTTTTATTTCCATAATTTATTTATTCATTTTATCCATTTTTCCCCTCTTTTATGAGTTATTCATAACTATAATGATATTAAAGAAAATATGCAATAGAAAGAGTTGTTGGAATCGCAGATAACTGACGTGCAATAGGAATTTCCTGTTACAAACTGCCTTAAAAGAGGTCCAAGACAGTTCATGTGTCGCGAAATGATTCGATAAAGGGTTGCTACAGACAAAGTTTACACCCAAAACGTCGAATAAGTAGTAGTGTTTGCAAATGTTTCGAAAATCTGCCACGAATGATGCATGTATTCATCCTGAACTCCGAATTAGAAACCAAGAAAACTTCCAAATCAGCTTTTAAGATCTACTCACCTGCATGTTTACCACGGATGTCAATCTTAGGTACGGTTTGATTAAGGCGATTTTGAGCATAATTCCCAATGAACTCCTCCAAATCAGTGACAGTGAGGAAAGTGCGTTCCATTTTTTCTTGAGTTACTTTATTTCCAGAAGAGCTGGTCACTTCTTTTAGAATGGTGTCAACAAGTTTCCTTCCTGGGGACTGAGTTAGTGGTTTGTTTAGACAAAACTTTCAGTAACCTAGCTCTTAAAGGAATCAATAAATTCATGGGTTACACAATCTGAGGAAAATTGAGCTTCCATTAACCAAGGCACCAGCAGTAAACTTAAGAGGAGTTTAATTTTATGATGACTCGATCGAACTCTTCTATTTACAAGCTATTGCTAGTGGTTTCTTAGTAAAGTGTTACGAAGATAATACGGAACAACTGAGTACAAGAATATAAATAACACAGGAAATACTGATAACTTAAGAAAGAAAGTGCTCGCGATTACATTTCGAGCTTTGCGTGATCTGCGTGAAAGTCGAACTTATATCGATAACTACGCGCTCCGGGGTCAGGAGGGGGATAGGTTTGACATTCTCTAAAGGGTGGAATTAGAGGACCAACAACAATAGGCATTAAAAATGTTACAAGAAAATCAAATACACCTACCTCGCTTGATGTTGTTAGCTTGATGACCAAAAAATTCAGTTTCCAGCACCGTTTCACTTTGATTGTGCCCAAATACGACGAGTCCGTTGTATTTGTCTGTCCCCCTCTATAAATAAAGTCCTTATTATTATTATTATTATTATCATAGAAAACTGCTTGCGAGTTTTTTCATTTTTTCTGCATCGCCACATTTTAAAACAGCGATCTTTCCAAGAAGACGCCTGACTGAAAAAAGAAGTCAACTGCTCACACCAAGAGATACAACAGTCTCTGTCAATATATGTAGGTGTCTCATTGCCACATTCCATCCTATGCCAGTACTGACGCATTACTTCAACATGCTGCTGATAGTTCGAACGGTTCAGCTCTGAGGGTCCGAGTGTATCATTGGGGCGGGAGCAGTGCCCATCTGCGTTATAAACGTAAACATAAATCAGAGACATTTTAAATCATTTAAATCTCCTTCAAAAACATACTGTTTGTATTTTTTCTCAATTTATTTTTTTTTCTGTGAGTATATTATTTGCTTGACCTTTTTTTTTGCTTGATTTTTCATCCTTCCACTGCTCGAATATCGTTTCACTGCTCGTATTCAACCCCAGCTGCTTTTCCCACCCGGTAAGGAGCGCATTGCAGTTTCGGTTTGCGTTTGTGTGGGTGTGGGTGTTTGTTTGTTTTGTATCAGTTTCCACTTCTCACTTCTCACTTTCCACTCTGAACGGAGTAGTGAGTGGTTGGTATCGAGAGTTTGTATAATAAAAAAAAATAATAAAAAAAAAATATATATATATATATATATTTGGATGTTCAGAAGCCTTAGTATCTTTTTCTGAATATTTTTCTTAATTGTTAAGGATGGGTCCCGCTACTAAATATGTTGCTTTCTAAGGTTTCTAAGCCAAAATCTCCCTTCGTTTGTTTTTCCCCCTCTTTTGGACAATTACGAGCAATAACATATCAGTGATCTTTTGGAATAGGTCGCTTGTTAAGATTTATTTAGCAACAGACAATTTATTGTTCAACCCATGACGGCAGAGGTTAACTAGTTGAACAGTGTTGAATCTTTATAATTTTCTATTTCCCTTTTTTTTTTCGCCAAGACAATACATACCTTGTGCTGAAGTTGGCATGGCCGTACCAGCTGTAATGGAGACAAAACCAAAAGATATAATTCCCCAATTCACAGCCATACCGCAACAAGAGGAGTGGGGGGGGGGGCGCTAGGGGAATCAATCGCAAGATAAATACTTATATAATAAGATATCTAATGGAAACGTGGGACTTCCTAGTCAACCATATAGGGGCAACTGCGGGTAAAATCGTTCGTATTACACTCAAAGCCTTGCAAGGGTCGTGCTTAAAGGAAGGATTCGTAAAAGGAGAAGCGTCATGCATCCTAAGAACAAATCCGACACCCTCCACTTGTAGCAATAACGTACAGAGTTTCAAAATGTGCTTAAAGAAGGGAATGGATACTTGACGAAGATGTGAAGAGATATATGTCACGCCTGCTAGAGAAAGTGCCATCAAAAAACAAAGGCAATAGCACACAGAAAAAAGTATTGCTATTTATGACGCAATATCTTCCTACAAGAACATACTGATGGGAAAATGGCATCTTATTCAAAACCAACGCACTGAATCACATCGCAAAGGAAAGTCGTTAAAACATATCCTAGTCAGAGCTAATCTCAAAAATTTAAAACCGCATGCGAATGGCAGGAGTCCTGCAGGCCCATCGATACTTTTTAACTCGTCATTTGCTTCTTGTGATCTGCACCTTGCGCGAAGTTTGTCGACGCTCTGATGCAGCGTCGGCGACGGATTTATTTCACATCGCTAATTCTGTGATGTAAATTATTATTGAAACTGTAGGAACCAGGTTTCCTTGTATTACTGAGCACGGATCATTTGGACCCGTGTGTTTACTGGCCAATGTTTTCAAAACAGCCCTTGTTGGCTTTCACCAAGTGAGAAATGAGAGACTTGAAGATTATCCGTCAAATGAGTAAGCAACGACAGAATAAACTTTTTTTTTTCTCACAAAACTCATGCATACAAAACGCTTAAGTTGTTTGCAAGTTAACCTGATACAAACCGAAAAAGAAAGACAACGGCAGTTTATTGTCAGCTATTTTATTAAAAGTGTTGTTGTAATCTTTTGAAGGGCCAAATTCACCGTAATATTTAACTGCAAATAGACCTTTAAGAAAATCACCATAAAAGCTACTTTGGGAAAATAAATATAGGATATCTGCCGTTCTAGGTTTGTTTCATATACATAAACAAAGCCTCATGTTACATGAAGAGCGTCAGGAAGTCTCCCGTTGTCGAACATTGTTGGCTTACGGATATCGATCTTAATATAAATGACGCCTCAGTGCTTGGCGAAGTAGAATTTGTTTGTTTTAACTGCATTTGTCTGAGTTCCGTTCCGAACTGGACAAAACGAATTCAAATTCCTGAGGAAAAGTTCTTTCAACAAAAATAAAATTTTCTAGACCGCACTTTCTCTTTAAAAAGCTCTTAAGAGAGCTTTAAAGAGCTCCGTCGAGGAAAAAAAGCGCAATTGATTGTACAACATGCAACCAAAAGCCTTCTTAACACATCGTTTACATATTTAAAGGTTACTATATTACTTTTTAATACTCACCAACCGCTAGTGCGAGAAAAACCATTCTCCAGAATAATTTAGCTACAGTTTTCTTTCGATGTTTAGGATATGAATTCGGCATTTTTAGGATCACCGTCTCGTGAAACAATGATGGAGGTATTGGTCTGTGTCCAGTGACGTTGGGCAGACGTTAGACACAGAAATACGTTAGATCTTGAGCGAACAAGGAAGAAAGCAGAGACCAAACTAGGCGTGAGTTTCTAAACACATTATTCCTTGGGTTTGTTGGCACTGAATCGACCAGCTGGGTCCTTATTTTCTTTATAAATTCAGACAATATTAATACCAAGACATGACTAGAATTATATCTCATATACGAAAGTGCCACGGAAACCACTAAGAAGTGGCAGGTGGCAACTGCTGCTGTCTTAATTTGAAATAGCGGATGACAAGACAAAGAGTCGCAGCACGGTTTTTTCCCGGTATTTTTTAAAATTGTAATTCACCCATAGGTTGGGCACACACTGACGTATTTGTATTATTGACATCGCAACTGAGAGACGTGTAATGAATGATCATTAAAACAAAACAAAGAGTGTTCAACTCATTAGGTGTCTTCATTGGAAACTGGGCCGAATTTCCTAGTTTGCATGACGAACTGAAACGAGGTTGAGAAAGTTTTATTTGTTTAAAGAGGAAATTTTCAACTTAATAATTCATTATGTCTACCAGGGAAAATTTTCGTGTTAAGCCTCCATCTAATTACAATATTTTCCTTTTTTTGGTATCCCTGAATGAAAGACGAAAAAACTGAAACAAATACACCTTTAAGAATTATACCTCCTCTGCTTTCTAAGTGGTGTTTTACGAATATAGACTTTCTTGAGAGACTAAAACTTAGCTAAGCTGACAGCGGATAGCAATTGAAGGATGTAAAACAAGGATTTTAAACATTACTCTATTGGTATCAAAGGGAAATATTACATCTCATTTTAATGCCGGCAAAACGAGAATTATTAGGTCAAGGAGACAGAGGAAAACGAGAAAACGAAAAATTAAGACGGACTTGAGGATGTGATAATCATCAAACGTCTGCGAGGCCTTCAATCATAAACCTACTAACGGAAAATTCTCGCATATTTTAGCATTGCAATAGGGCGCCTTGGCCTTGTGTTCCCAGAGAAAACTTCATAATCTTCACTTGACGTGCGGCGCTTATCAACTTTACATAAAATAATGGTTAAATAAGTCCTTCTGTACAAAAAATTTGAAATACTACCCACTTCAATCATACGAAGAAGTGTTTCTGTCATCCTTGCGTGTAATTATTAAAGCAGATGTCTCCGAACCATGATTACAGCGCATATTCGTCTATTACATGCACTACTATTTTTCATTGTCATGTTAATTTAAAAAAAAAAGATATATATATATATATATATATATATATATATATATATATATATATATATTTTGTTGTTGTTGTTTCGTTTCGTTTCATTTTTTTTTGTCTTTTCATTTGCTATAGACGTAAGTCGAGAAGTATTGGCCACAAACTCTCATACTGAGGTGCTTTTGGTATCAATGGACAGACGTCAAAACAACGGAAATGCTGACCAATACCTTTATTTATATCATTGGCTCAGACTACTTAGTGCAACAGATTTTGAAGAAATACTTGCGTGATCAGTGCTGAGTTAACACTTCATTAATCAAGTTATAAAGAAGAGGAAGTCCACTGACCTAAACGTTAGACAAATTCCGGGCTCGGAAGTGCATTTTTTTTTCTGTGTTCCCTTGCCAGATTTATATGGGTCTGCATGAAATATGTTCATATGAGTTATTGACCGAGCGTAAAGTCAGGATGGCTGGATACTGGCCGGGTTCTATTTTTGCATTTAAAAACGCAGAAAAAGAACGAGGCTAATATTCAGCCACCTCGACCGAATAGGCTTGGTCAAGAGAGTTTACAATCTCTTGACTTGGTCAATAAAGGACTTACGATATTGAAAAAATATTTTGCTTTGATAAAAATCAAGAACGACTTGTTTATTTTGAGAGCCGAGAAAGTGAGCCACCGTGTGTGCGACACGATAAACCCAAGAGGGTCGTTTGATTTTTTTTTTATTTTGACTGCTTCTGCCGCTTCTTGCGACTTCGTTGCTAACACTGTCCAATAGTTACAAACTTTGCAAGTCCGCTTCACGAACTTTTTTTTCTTGCGCGGGACATAATTGTCCAAATCGCGTTCTCTTGGGGAGAAAAGCATATTGTTCAAATTCATAAACTCATGAAGATATTCGAGGGTTTGAAAGTAATCGCTTTCTAAAGTGCTGTCACGAGGTCTGAATTGGGAAACAAATGTGAATGTGAACAAAGTCTATTCAGACAAAGAAAGAAAAAAATGTATATCCGAGCCTGCCAATTGTGCGACCTACAACTCAGTGGACTCCCTCGTCGAGGTCTGTAATTTGGTTTACGACTTGTTAATTCCATTACTGAGTAGACAATAATAACGTTATCATATTTTTTCAAAATCTATTGTACTTAAGAGTCTGAGCCAGTGATAAATGGAGATGTATTGGTCAGCGTTCTCATTGGTTTGCCAGCTGTCATTTGATGCCAATTGTTCATAAGTGTCATGGTTTGCAGCCAATATTTATCGACTTCAGCCTAGAAAATAAAGAAAAAGGCTGATTAATATCAGCGAGTCTGCAATGTGACATAAATATTGGTGGATGTGGATGTTCGCTATAACAACAAATGTTAAATGATTGCATTGGAGGCTTATTACATTGAGGACCAACTGTTATAATATTTAGGACTTTATTACATTTAGGACAGTTATTACATTTAGGCCTTCAATTAAGGCACTAGACGGGAGTATCGAAACGTTGGGTCTATGAATTGTAACTTCTTCGGTTACATTCATGAAATCTGTAAACCAGAGCAGCATCAAACCATGTCTGATTGTCCACCTGGTTGCCATGTGAACTTTAATATTTTTTTATGAGAATGATATCATGAAACGTAAAGAGGGTTGATTCCTCATTTGTTAACAATAAAAGGCTTACATGGAGATTATTTGAGATTTCTTTCTGTTATTCCGCGAAAAGATTCGATCGAGACATTGTCAACCATGCTCCTCATCAAAATGTTATTAATTGTGTACTTTTAAATGAGGAAATGAATAAAGTCTTTTTTTTTCGACACATGACAAATCGAAAAAGCTTTTTGAATGAATTAAGTTCCATTGTCAAAAATTCATAGTCTGACGCTCAAATCTCAAGCTATAGTGCGTGTTTTAGGAGAAACAGGCTTATCAGAATGGTCACTCCTAGAGTTAACAAGGAGATATTTCTCAACCAACACTCCCTGGAGAAAAATTCTGAAACAATTACGAAAGTAAAAACGACTACCGAAAGAAAAAACTATGAATAGTTTTTTTGGTTTGTTTGTTGTGTTTTTTTTTTTTCAATTCTTGCCTCTATTGAGAGTAACGATATTTTGATTACCATTGATCTGCATAATATTTTCTCCTTTTGCTAAGATGTAGACCTTCTTAACACAAATGTATCCGGTGCTCGTTTCTTCGACAAGGAGGAGACTTTTAGATTAATTGAGATGTTCTTTTATTAATCTTCGGATCGATACAAAGCTATATGAGCGTTACGAGGGTTATTTGTGCGTGTTCTAATTTTTTTTTTTTTTTTAACGAACTTAATTTAAGATATACATAGTTCTAAGCTAAGAAGCAACAATTCGATGACGACTCAGATCTCAAAGATTTCAGTGCCACTTTCATGGTTATTGCGAGGCTGGACATTAATTTTCCTTGGCAATATCACCATGGAGGTTTCATGTACTTGAGAAGCTCGCTTTATGCTTGTTACTTCAATTGCAGTTGGGGTGACACGAATGATCCTTCTCTTGAAGCGAGATCTAATCTGTATGAATAAGTTGATATCAAAACGATCTCAAGAATTGAACAACAAAACGTGCTTCGAATAAATACAACCATCGAACTGAATTGAATTTCTTATTTCAAAGTGGAAGCTTTCGGGTTAAAAATCTGAGCAAAGTTCTAAATTACAAAGAAACTTCTTAATAAAATTTAATAGCATACCTCTGAGTTTCTCACGCAATGAAGGAGAAATATCAAGAAGCCCTGTTAAATCACAATGCAGAAAATCACGTTAACGCCTTTAGTAGATTCAAAGCACTTTCATCCAAGCCCTCCAACTTCAACCCTTTCAAGATTAAATTTTGCTGGGTAGCAAAAATGTCCAAACCTTTCCTGCTATTAAGCATAAGTTCTCTACTTTGTCTCTTCATGCCTTCACGGGGCACTTTTCACGCGCTTCAGGAATATTGAGAGGAATATAATTAGATCAAGATCTCAGGTATTCGATTGTGAGGCCGTTGGTGTTCTCTTGTCATGTCCTTAATCGACTTAGTTTCAATAAGCAAAATTGTGATTACTGATAAAAAATTGATATATGTTTTGTTTTATTGAGGTTTGTTTTTTACTCTGGAAAACTGAGTTTCACTTTTTCATATAATTGTAAAGAGGGTCGTTGTTTTAAAAGACAAATCTTAGAATCATGATCTGTTTCTCCCTTTTTTTTTCTTTTTCAATCCTACAATTCCCATGAGTGACCAAGAGAGAAATTCTCCTTACAATATCAATACAAAATCAAGAAGACAACTGATGAGAACCAAGAAAAGTATCAATTAGGGGATTATTAGCTGATCCAATACCAAATTCTCAGAAGTAAAATCAGAAGAATTGTATAGCAGACAGTGAGGAGAATTAATAATAATATTTTGGAAGTTAAAGGGTTAAACACTGTTTTCTAAAGAATGCTGTTACTGTTAAAAGTTCATCAGCCGCGTAACGTGTGTTTTTTCAAGTATAAATTAATGAAATAATGTGAGAGTTTTTTTTGTGTCAGGAGAGACGAGTTCTTAATAGACATGGGTTAGGTGAACCTGTGCCCTGAGATGAGGTGCACTCTGAGCACTGACTTTAATCTTTGTCAAGATGCATACTTGAAACAGAAATATCTCAATCAGAGTTAAATCCACCAACCGCCCTTTTACTTTGGTACCGTATGAGCACGGATTCTATTCACTAAAAGCTGTATTCAGTTTACCTGAGTGGAGTTGAAAATTGTGAAAATGTATGCAAACGCTTTATGCAGGGGCGACAGAAGACCAAATAGCCACGTGATCCCAAGCAAAGGAATCATCACCACGCATGCCCTGACACCAAGCCTATAAAATCACGAAAAAAGAAAATCAAGAGAATTTCCTTTTACGAACAAGTCTCTGAAAGAATCAAACATCTTGGGAAATGAAAATTTTCAACCCCCTTCAAATTTTGCATGCGGTTAGGCGCTCAGAGGAGAAGGTCGCAGCACTCTTGTTGCCATGGCAACAACGACTGCTTGTTCGAGGCCTGAAGCCTCATTGTCATACAAAAACGTCGCAAAAAGAGTGAAATGATTATTTTTCTATCTCAAACTAAATAAAACATTACAAGTTGGCACTTCTACCATACATAGTAACATCCTCGCCAAATTATAAAATATCTGATTTTTGATTGCCCCTATGGAAAGTAGAGGCAGGCCCGCAGAAATATTTTTCCATATTTAAAACTACAATATTATAACCAGCTAGTTGGCTAGTTTCAGTTCCATAATAAGTGTACCTTTGGAGAAATTTATATAAACGTTTTCCCTGCTTTACCCACATGTCACTTTCAATAATAGAAGTGCCAACTTGTAATGTTGTACTTAACTTGAGATAGAAAAATAAACATTTCACTCTTTTTTTGCGACGTTTTTGTATGAAAATGAGGCCCCAGGCCTCGAACAAGCTACCGTTGTTACTATGGCAAAAAGGGTGCTGCGACCTTCAAAAAGGGCATTTTTGTGCATCCCCCCTGAGGGCCTAACTGCATGTAAAATTTGAAGAAGGGTTGAACGTTTTCATTTCCTAAGATGTTTCATTCTTACAGACTTGTTCTTACCATTGTTGTGAGTTGGCATTATTCGTATAAGACGACAAAGTATGAGGCTAATGGCTTATATAAATCTACCACTGGCGCCGCTGAAATACTTACCTTATTTGTTCTCTGTTTTTGTCTTTTGCATGCTGCATGATCATCATCTCCTTGATAACTCGCACCAGTATCAATGTGTTTAACTGAAAAAAAAGTGATAACACCATGGATAACTATGCAAAGGAAAACAGGAGTTCACACTTGAGCTAAGTGGTCCTAGCGGTCTTAGTGGATGGTGGTCAAAAGTTTCCCCCTAACCTTTCCCTCTCCCCACCATTCCGCAAGACATTTCTTAGGTTTCTTTCACCATTTATACAGCTGGGAGGAGAGGGCGAAAAGCATTGTGAACGCAAAATGTTTTGCCCAACAACACAACACAACAACCCGGTAGAGACTCGAATCAGGATATTCAACCTAAAAATCTTGCACGGTAACCGCTGACGGCATCTTCCAACATAAGGGTCACCTCAAGAAAAATTATATATACTTCATGTTTCGTTGAAAACTATTGAACAGAGTCAAAGAGGTTAAAAAAGGCGGCGAGAAAAATGCTCACAAAACAATGATAACTGAAGGCAAAGTGTGAAGGATAAAAAGGAAAAACTTTAAGAATTCAACATACCAACTCAATCAGCACAACGAATACAACAAATATCCAGATCATGCCGTTAGTGGATGACATCCAGCAGCTGAATAAAAATTAATTACGCGAAACTTTGATAAAGGATCAATTAATTTTTTTTTTGCGCATGCATGTACGCAGTACCCTCCAGGCCGGGTTTGATAACAACTAAAAACAACAAATAAATAACAAAACAATAACAACAACAGCAACAAACCAAACAATTAATTAAACAAGACAAAAAACAAAACAATGCAAACAAGCAAACAACAGAAGGACAAAAAAAAGAGAGAGAGAGACAACGAGGATTCGTGATAGAGAAATCGCTTGACAAAAAAAATCATTTATTTCTTACAATTTCTCACTGACATAGCTTTTAATCCCTGGCCCGGTTCCTGCTGCAATGCTCAGCGATGTGGAAACGACGAGAGCGGGTAGACCTGTGGATTCGAAATTCGAAGTGATAACAGAGTCAAATGATGGATTCGAAATTCGAAGTGATAACAGAGTCAAATGATGATAGTAATGTCTAGCTGATGGCAATGTTCATCTTTTACTTTTCAAAAGATCATTAAAGAGAGAATGGGTTTTTTATTTCATAGTTACCCCAGGAAAATCCATGAGAAACCTTCATCTTGTCGCTGATATTGTAAACTTTTACAACAAACAGGTAGAGATAAACTCCCTCGATCAACATCCAGCAGAAAGCGGCCATTAGGAAATATTGCACAAAAGCTGCTACTGTAACACAGGCAGACTGCACAGGAATTAAAAAGTTGAGTTAAGAGTTGATTGAAAGTCATAAAGATTTACTGAAAGAGATTCCTCTCTTCTCGTTTGATATAACATCTCACCTTGTTCTCAACAGCACCACTTCCGGTTAGGAAGATCATTTGACCTGCTCCAAGTGAAGCGACTAGACTCACTCGAATCTGAGATAAGGGTCCCCTCATGTCTCTAATCAAAAGTAAATGACTGATTTTATTCTAAGTCAGTTCTATCCTCATTTTATACAAAGCCTGGTTATATTTTTATGATTCGACTTGGCTGCTTAAAGGAATCTTAGCTATGCATTTAAACTGATATCATTTCTTGTTGATTCTATATTCTCGGCTTGCTTTGGAATGCTTGCGTGTAACTATGTCATGTACTTACGTAAGAACAGCATAACTGATGATTGTTAAAGTGATTCCAACCAGAGAAAAAGACGAGCCCACATACGTGAGAATTTTCAGCGCTTTTTCGTCAGTCTTAAAAAATGAAATCAAAAACAGTGATTCAATATTGGTAACGGAAGAGGGCTACACACCATATACCTGGATTAATGCAGATGTAAGAAAAAGTGCCACATCAATGCTTTGTAGTCTTATTGCCTTCTGAAATCAATGCATGTATGCATAGCAATATTCCTACCTCAGGTAAAACTTTACTGCTAGTTCCCTTGTCAAACTGCATAAGAACTGCAAAGTGAGTCAAATGATTGCAGCTGCACTCAGTGTAAGATTCGTTCCTCGATGTTAGGAGGCACCCTTGTCCTGACCAACTAGAATGACAGCAGAAAACAGTTAGAAAAGCAGTCTTTAGATTCTAAATGAACAAAACAAACAAAACAACTGCCAGCCTTACAGACCGCTGAGGACGCGGAAGCCTGAGAAGGAGAAAAGGAAGGAGTAAGAGGTGACCACACAACGTGATGTACCAGAGCACAAAAGCAGAGTCCTTAAGCAAATTGATAATTTGAAGTGAACGATGTCATCAACTCATTCAAATCGGTTTACCTGTTTTTTAAAGTATTCCAAAACACGCAGCTTCTGTTCGGTGCATCCTAAATCCGTAAAGTACCGTTATTGTTACGTAGTACAGCGACTCGCTGGCTAATGTGGAGGGGGTAGTGCTCTCGCCGGAATTTTTCATACCCCACCCCATCACTTTAGATAGATGTAAAGAATTATTCGCAAGATTTCTAGTCTGTTTCCTCTCTTTAAAGAAACTCCCTAAAGAGAAATAAGACCTTGACGTAATAAGATGATGATAATATTAATGATGATAATAGTAATGATAATAATAAAAATAAATAGAAATAGTAAGGAAAAACAAATCAGATCAAAACCAAAGAAAAAAGAAAACGCAACCACAAAAGTCACAAAAACATACACGAAAAAAGAAGAGAAAAAAAAACCAAATCAGTAGTATATGCAACGACAAGCAACAACAACAACAAAACAAAAACAAACAAAAAAAATATAAAAAAAAGAAAGCAAGACCAAAATGGAACAGAGGGATGCATAAGGGAAGGTTAAATTGAAAAATTTTATCTAAATTTTCCAGAAATACTAGCCCTGTTCAAACTCTATTTCAGAGTTACGAATTCAGATGCAGCTCTTCTTGATTAATTGTAACTTACCGCAAGGTTTCTAAATCTCAACGTAACATCCTTTCTGAAAGTGTTGTTCCTCGGCCATATCGTTGCAGACAAGATATTACTATTTAATACCCAATAGATAAACAAGCAAAGCAATAGTTAAAAGAAAAAAAAACAGCAACAACAACAGAAAAAAAGAAAAACAATCAAAAGACAAAAAGATAAATTAATAAAAAGGTAGAAAAACAAAATGAAGACGAAAGAAACAGAAACAAACGAGAAATTCAAATTGAAGTCCAGAAAAATTCTCTTACGCCGTATGTAGGTTATCAGCATACCAAAAGAGATTTATTTGAGATGAAAGATATTATATGCAATACTAAGTTTTAGCAAACCTGATTTTATCGACAGGAACAGAGTCGGTCTGGCCTGTTAGGAATATTTCATGGAGATCTTTGTAAATGACACAAAGCACAACTGATCCTAAGATGTAATAATGGAAACAATTTTAATACTAAGAGAATATCGAGAAAAAAGGACAATAAGATATGGTTTGATGCTACTCTGGTTTACAGATTTAATGAATGTAACCGAAGACTACTTTATGGCTAATAGGGTGGTGAGAATCGAAAGCGAGGTATTTGTCAGTCGGTGTGGGTAGGTTTACGGTAGACATTTGTCTCTAAAGTACCCTGAAACCCTCCGGACACATTTAAAAAACAAGAGAGGGCAAATGTCTATACTTTTCACGCTCAAGGGTGAATTGGATGGATGGATGATAGTAGATGCCCTTGTACGCAAATTGCGGGGTTTTGAGGCAAAAAGACAGCAGATGAATAATATCCTCTACAGGCAAAGAAGTTCTTTGTCCTAAGGAAGCATCTTCTCTGAGTCTCTCCTCCGCAACCTTAACGGCAAGATCAACTGGGATTTTAGTGAAGAGAGAAACAACGTCGAAAGATACTAATTCTTCACAAGCGTTAAGAGTATTATCTCTTATGAAATCCGCAAATTCGCAGACATTTTTGACAGTGTAATCAGTATTCCCAACAACAGGCAACAAAATTCTCGCAAGATAACCAGAAATTGCGTAAGTCGGAGAACTAACAAAAGAGACAATGGGTCTCAAAGGAATTCCCGGTTTATGAAATTTAAGTACGCCATAAGAACGTGGACATAAGCCTTCGTTGCTGTATAACATTTTTTACGTACAGTCACTAATCTTACAAGCTTTTTTTTTTTCTCTTTTTTTCTCACTACCTTATTTGCCATAAAAATTATGTAGCCAAAACTTTACTCAGGAGGGCTGACTGTCTACCATCGTCACTCGATTCGAAGACTGAGGAGAGGAAATATTTTTTTAATGTCCTAAAGGCAAATGGCTATCCAAAAACCCTTCTCCGTAACTTCAATAAACCGTTTACAACTAGTAGCACTCCTGATGAAAGGGAACCAGCGACTGGTAATGCTGTTATTCCTTACATTCAGGTGTTACGGAATCCGTCAAGAGAATTTTTAACAACCACAACGTTGAAGTTGCTCAAAAACCTGTTCAGACGAACCGACGCCATTTATTCTATTCCTTGTAATGACTGTGATAACAAATACATCGGACAGACCAAACGTCAGTTTGTACACGTTTGAAAGAGCGTCAAAAAGTGATGTTCTTTTACAAAAAAGAACAGACAGCTTTATCGGAGCACACAGGCCTTTGTTTGGAAACTTTGCATATTAACTCCACCCACACTCCTTAAATCGTGATGATGGCGGCTTACTTCCTAACGCCTATTACACCTCTTCGGAGAAAAAGCAGCTAATTAGTGATCATATAAAAGGACCTCTTGTCGCAGCGTTTAGATCACCCCTGATGAAGGCTTTGGACAGGAGTGTTGAAATGTTGGGTCTATGAATTGTAACTTCTTCGGTTACATCCATTGAATTTGTAAACCAGAGTAGCATCAAACCATGTCTGATTGTCCACCTAGTAGCCGTGTGAACTTTGATATAAAAAAAAAAAAAAACAAGTTGTCACGGTTTAAAGGCCCTGTGCGTTTATTGGTATGTTTCATTGGTATGCTCAATTTTGTAACAAGAATGAAAAACGTCGACCAAAGGAGACATAAGCTAATAAAAGAAAATCAATACAACTAGATTAAGATATCAGCCATTCAGCTAGAATTTTCTTTAGTACTTGAAACCCAGCCCCCCTTTGACCAAGAACACTAACAATCGCTAAAATAATTTGAATAATACGACGAAAAGATATATCATTATCTAAAAAAGTGAAAAATATAGCTCTCCAACCTTTATCGAAGCCTGTAACAGGAAGGCTGACGTAGTTTTCTCCTTTATCATCCTCAAATTGTACTCCAGTCTCATTTTCGTGGAAAATCTTCCTGACCAATATATCTAAAAGCAAAACAGCGACTTATTTTAAGGGGGGGCCAAAATAAATTCAGATGCTTTCGTAACAGTCACAAATTGTCGGCCTCAAAAGTTTTGGGACAAAAAGGCTGAGGAACCATCACTTAGAGGTAGTAAATGCAAGTAGTTTGCAAGGATCATCATTCAAAGGAGCGTTCTCGATTCAAATGTTACATAAAGTGCTATTGATCATTGTTACTAACATATATTCGAAGGGTTTTTCATTTTCTTAATTTATTTATTCGTCCTATTCATTTTTTTTTTCAATTCCTCATAGCTTGTTCTTGACCATGGCGATATTGAAGAACACATGGAAAATAGAAAGAATTCTTGGGAATTGGAGATAACTGATGAGCGATAAGAATCTGCTGATATAAACTGCCATAAAAGAGATCCAAGGCGTTTCATACCTCGCAAAACGTCTAAAAAGTTGTAGTGTTAGCAGATGTTTCTAAAATATGCCACGGATGATGCATGTATTCATCCTGAACTCCGAATTAGAAATCAAGAAAACTTCCAAATCAGCTTTTAAGATCTACTCACCTGCATGTTCACCACGGATGTCAATCTCAGGTACGGTTTGATTAAGGCGATTTTGAGCATAATTTCCGATGACTTCCTCCAAATCAGTAACAGTGAGGAAAGTGCGTTCCATATTTTTTTTAGTTACTTTATTTCCAGGAGAGTTTGTCACTTCTTTTAGGATGGTGTCGACAAGTTTCTTGCCTGGGGACTGAGTTAGTAGTTGGATTAGACAAAACCTTCAGTAGCTTAGCTCTTAAAGGAATTAATAAATTCATGGGTTACACAGTCTGGAAAATTGAGCTTTGTTTAACCAATAAACTTAAGAGGAGTTTAATTTCCTGACGATTCGATCGAACTCTTCTGTTTACACGTCATCGCCGGTGGTTTCTAGGTAAAGTGTTACGAACATACTGTCATACATTAAAAATGGAACGACTGATTACAAGATTATAAATAACATAGCAAATACTGATAACATAAGAAAGAATGTACTCGAACTTACATTTCTAGCTTTGCATTATCCGCGTGAAAGTCGAACTTTTATCGATAGCTACGCGGACTGTGGTTATGAGGGGAATTGGTTTCTACAGCGTCTAAAGGGGGAGAATTAAAGGACCAATAACAATAGGCACTACAAATGTTACAAAAAAATAAAATACACCTACCTCGCTCAATGGTGTCAGCTTAATGGCAGAAAAATTCAGTTTCCAGCACTGTTTCACTTGGATTCTGCCCAAATACGACGAGTCTGTTGTATTTGTCAATATAATAGGAAACTGCATGCGAGTTTTTTCACTTTTTCTGCACCCCCACATTTTAAAACAGTGATCTCTCCAGGAAGACGTCTGACTGAACAAAGAGGCCAACTGCCTACACCAAGAGCTGCAGCAGGTTTTGTCAATAGACATAGGTGTCTTATTGTCGCATTCCATCCTATGCCAGTACTGACGCATTTTATGACGATGTTGCTGACAGTCCGAGCAGTTCAGCTCTGAGGGTGCGAGTGTATCATTGGGGCGGGAGCAATGCCCATCTGCGTTAGATTCGTAAACATTAATAAGAGACATTTTGCATTGTAAATGTTGTTCCTCGTTCATACACATACTGTTTTTATATTTTTATATTTACTTGCTTGTCTTTTTTTTTTCCGCTTGATTCTTTATCCTTTTACAGCTCGAATTCAACCCCAGCTGCTTTTCTCACCCGGTAAATAACGCATTGCAGTTTTGGTTTGTGTTTGTATGGGTATAGGTATGTTTTTCTTGTTTTTGTTTTTGTTTTTCGTTTTTTTGTTTTCCTTAGTATCAGTTTCTCACTTCTCACCTTCCATTCGTTGAACAAAGTAGTGAGTGGTTGGTATCGAGAGTTTGTATAAAATAATAATAATAAAAATAAATAAATAAAAATAAAAAAAGGTTATTGGGATGTTCAGAACCCTCAGTTTTTTTTTTCTTAATTTTTTCCTAATTGTTTAGGACGGGTCCCGCTTTGAGTAACATGGTACTTTCTAACGTTTCTAGGCCACAACCCCCCTTTGTTTGCTTTTTCTCCTCTTTTGGATAAATACAAGCAATGACATATTAGTGATCTTTTGGAATAGGTCGCTTTTTTAGATTTATTTAGCAACAGATAATTTGTTGTTTAACCTCTGACGGCAGGGGTTAATTAGTCGAACAATTTTGAACCTTTATAATTTCTATTTCTTGTTGTTGTTTTTTTTTTTCTTTCGCCAAGACAAAACATACCTTGTGCTGAAGTCGGAATGGCCATACCAGCTGTAATAGAGACAAAATAAAAATATATAATTCCCCAATTCACAGCCATACCGAAACAAGGGGTGAGGGCTGGGGTTTAGGGGTCACAAGTTGAAGGTGGCTTTTGAAGCAAAATCCCTTTCGTTTGCTCAGTGGCTTTTAGCCTTTTATGTGAAGGAACGCGGGATGCCATCGACAGTTCCAGATACAAAAAAATTCCTCAAGGAAGTTGCGAGAAACCACTAAAATAACTGCATACAATGAAAAACTCATTACTTCAGAATGAACAGAGATTCGGTGATTGACAGAAATGCTTTGATAAAATAGGTTTTTTTTGTATCATAATTAAAACAGTAAAGGTGATATGAATTGGTAAATTACTTTTAAAAAAATAGGCAAATGAAAGAGACAAGAAAAATTGAACCACCTGACATCCCTTCCCCCAATAAAAAGGAGAAAGAAAACCATGAATTTATACTTAAAGGACGAATGAACGGACGGATGAATAGATACCATTTGTTTCCAACAAACAGACAGAATGTTTGATAAACTGCTCAGTTCTGGTTTAGAAAAATAGCTGTTATCTTTTTTTTCATTATTATTTTTATTTCATTGATATTTTAAGCCGTAAAGTGGCTCTTTTTCGGGAGAAGAAGAAATCGCTGTTAACGAAGCACCTCGGGAAAAGATAAAAGGAGAAATATGCAAGCGCTGACGTCTTGTAAACTACGAGTGGTGCTCTTGCGGCAACTGTTATGAGATGCGAGAGTATATGCTGTCAAGAAATGAATTTACATGGAGATCGACTTCATCTGGAATCGAAGATAATTCGTCTGAAGTAGAATCTGTTTTTAAAGTGACCTTTTTTGAGTTTTTACAAAGAAACAGCGCGGTGCCGTGACAGATTTATTTCACATTGCTAATTGAGTGATGTAACGTGATCATCGAAACAGCTAATAGAACCATAAATAAACAAGGTAAGAGTGTTATGTTAGATGTTTTTGCAAATTGTAATGACTTATGCCAGGTAACGGTGGCGACAAGTAGGCGCACTATGCATATTTCATAGTCGCTATCAAGTAAATTTTGCCGGACTTTGAGTTCGTCTCAAGATAAAACAACACAAATACACAAGGACATTTTTACAGGAACTTTATAACCATCCTTTTGTCTTATAAAAGCTTGAAGCTCAGTAGATTGTGTCATATCGGTCATTGTTAAAACTGTCTTTGTTTTGATACTACTTTTCGACATAGGAAAAGTTTGTCGGACTAAAAAAATTAAATATATATTTCTTTGCCAGCCTCAATAACGACAGGGAATTAAGTTTAGATGATAAAACAAAGGATTGTGCGAACAAAATTACCGTAGGTCTAGTACATTCGTTACATCACACAACTCGGGTAATATTCACGGGGAAAATTTGCATATTTGAGAGGTCGAACGAAAAAAAAATATTTCTCGAAAATTAAAATAAATTTTTACAAAAAAACTACACCACAATTATTAGAACATATCGGGCTACAAACTATGAAAGTAGGAGAGAAAACGAATTTGGGCGACTTGCCGCTGTTTGTTTGATGCATGCTGACATTAACTCTTAAGAGAATTACCACATAACCTACCTTGAGAAAATAAATATAGGAAGTCTGCTATTTCAAGTTTGTTTCATATATAAAAACAAAGCCTCATGTTACGTGAAGAGCGTCAGGAAGTCTCCCGTTGTCGAACACTGTTAGCTTGGGATATCGATCTTATTACAAATGACTCCTCCGTGCTTAGCGAAGTAGAATTGTTTGTTTTAACTGCATTTGTCTGGGTTCCGTTCCGAACTGGACAAAACGACAATTATTTTCGAATTCCTGTGAAAAAGCGCTCTCAACAGAAGTAACATTTTCTAAACCGTACTTTCCCTTCAAAGAGCTCTTAAGAGAGCTTTAAAGAGCTCCGTCAAAAAACAAGCGAAATTGAAAGTACAACATACAACCAATAGCCGCGCTACTAAACATATCGAGTTTTTTAAAGTTTACGCATTTAAAGGTTACTATATTACTTTTCCAATAGCCGCGCTACTAAACATATCGAGTTTTTTAAAGTTTACGCATTTAAAGGTTACTATATTACTTTTCCAATAGCCGCGCTACTAAACATATCGAGTTTTTTAAAGTTTACGCATTTAAAGGTTACTATATTACTTTTCCATACTCACCAACCATTTGTGCAAGAAAAATCATTCTCCAGAATATTTTGGCCAAAGTTTCCTTTCGAACTTTCAGATATGAATTCGGCATTTTTGAGATCACCGTCTCGTAAAACAGCGATGAAGGTATTGGTCTTTGTTTAGTGGCTTTGGGCAGTCGTTGGACACAAAGATACGTTAGATCTTGAGCGAACAAGGAAGAAAGCCGAGACCAAACTAGGAGTGAGTTTCTAACACATTATTCCTTGGGTTTGTTGGCACTAAATTGACTAGCTGGGTCCGTATTTACATTTTAAATTGAGGCAATATCAAGAAATGACAAGGATAATTATTTCTCAAATACGAAAGTGTAATGAAAACCACTAGGAAGTAGCAGGTGGCTGTAAATTAAAAATTGCTCAAAGCGAACGTTTTTTTATTGTGTTGGTTAAAGAGGAACCGAAATTTTTCTCACCCTGGGTACTCTTCTCCACATAAACTCCCCTTAATACCGACAAAACAGTTTTCAAACTTGTTATTTTCTTAATATAAAATAGCGGATGACGAGTCAATGAGTCACACAACTGTTTTTTCCCGGTATCTTTTGAAATTCTAATTCACCCGTAGGTTGGGCACCCACTGACGTATTTGTGTTAATGACATCGCCACTGAGAGACGTGTAATGAATGAGGATTAAAATAAAACAAAGGGTGTCTAACTCAGTTGGTGTCCTTAGTGATAACTGAGCCGAATTTCCTGGTGTGCATGACGAACTGAAATGAGGTTGAGCAAGTTTTACTTGATTAAAGAAGAAATTTTAAAATGAGTATTTTATCATGTCTGCCAGGGGAAATTTTCGGGTTGAGCCTCCATCTAATCACAATATATTTTCATTTATTTGGCACCCCTAAATGAAAGACCGAAAAACAAAAAATGTTTTTACTTCCACGGTTTCAACTAGGTACACCTTCAAGAATTGGAAAATTCTCGCATATTTTAGCACTGCAATAAGGCGCCTTGGCCTCGTGTTTCCAACGAAAACTTCATAATCTTCACTTGACTAGCGGCGCACTTCAAATTTACAGTTTTTCTTGAAATATTGCTTATTCAGACTGCTTCACTTAGGCCCTACATAGCGATGTAAAAGGATTTGATGTCAGTCTCACTTATTGCAGAGTGAGACTATAAACGGTTTGAGTCCAAATCTTTCCCCCTTATGGCTTAAAAGGAACTTCACATTTTAGCTTGTAGATTCATTATAACATCTTCAATGTCCAATTGTCATAGTTACACACATAAATAGGAGGACGATGGGTGGATTAACATCGCCCATACACAGGTGGCGAAGGATTATAAAGGATAAGGTTTTTCATATACAGCATTTCGTTTTGTTTCGATGTTATTTTCAGTTTTCTCCTGCAAATCAAACTGAAATCTGTGCTTGTGACTATCGGATATCCAGCTATTAATCAATCGAAACACGATACAGACGCGATACAGAAAAAAACCTAATATTATAAATCGACCACTCTTTGATTTGTTTTCAGTTGAAAACTGTCAGAGTATTTATATCAATGTCCTATGTTGACAATCACTGAGGCAGCATGACTGGTTTTTGCAATTAAGATGCCAAACGTATATCACTCTAACACATGGTGTTTCTTGGTCGATTATTTTAGTTGTTAAAAGATAGAGGGGCCGCAGCCAGGATAAAACATCTTATGAAATTTAAAAAACGATCTCTGGCTAAAACTTTTAAAAATACGAGCTTTCGGCTGTTTGCGCTACAGCCTTCAACGAGTAAAATGATAAAAAGGTAAAAAATACTAGGTGTGAAGTACAAAGTAAAAATTAAAAATGCTGATAACTAAGAATGTTTGTTAAAAAGAATGTTGCATTGTCGGGCAAAGGACAGGAATTGTTGTCCGCATTGGGAGTTAACTTGGAATGCCACGCTTCTAGTATTTTTCTTGTTCTGAAACCGCCTTTGTCAATAATCGATGCATTATCAAAGTCTATTGTGTGACTATTGGCCCAGACGTGATTGGCAATTCTTGAGCCTTTTGCCGCGGTTTTCACATTTCTGAGGTGTTCTTTCTTTCTTGTGTTGAATGTTTTTAAAAAAATGAATGAATTTAAAAACATCCAGGCCAACAAAACCCGACGCTCAACAGTGTTGTCCCCGGAGGAACTTGTTGGAACATTTTTCAAGATGGTCGAGGGGTCCGAATCACGCAAGTCGTTCGCCTCTCTTCCATACATTCAAGGCGTAACAGAACCTCTGACTCGTGTCCTCAAAAAACACGACATCACAGTGGTGAACAAACCACTCATCACCCTTCAACAACAGTTCCCGGCCCCAAAATTTCGACCATCGTTGGAATCGCAAACAAATGTTATTTATAAAATTCCTTGTGGTGACTGTTCATGGTGTTATATTGGTGAGACTGGCAGGGCCTTCAATCCTTACGGAGAGCTTTTATTTCAAGTGTTAAATCTTGATCGTTTCCGCCCTATTGAAAGCGGATTCAAATCTCATACATGTTTATTCATCCACTGAATAAACATTCTGAGAAAATGAAATATCGTTTTGTGCGGTCATTAGGAGTTAGCAGAATTTATTCAAAATGCATATGCATATGCATCTACAAATGGCAAATTATAGGTAAAAACTGAAAAGTATAATATTGTCTTGTATAGAAAATGGTGCTCTGATTGCAAATCACAGACAGTGCACTGACAAGCCAACTTAAGGTTGGCATTAGCTGACGAAAAACTTTAAAATAAATCAGGACTTTCTTCTGTAGAGATAATGACCTATCTTTTTTTCCTTATTCTTTTTTTGTTTAGCTTCGCCTTTTTTCGTGGCTTTCCAGTTAATGTTCCATTTTGATATTATATAATATCTGCCGGATTTCTAACTTGCAATATTTTGCTTAGGTATGCCTTACTACGAAATTTCAATTTGCTGTTATGTACCATGTAGCATGTTGCAAACTACATGGAGGTTTAAGTTGTTCAATACTTTTTTAGTTTTTTCGGTGTCACTCAGTGGCTGAACCTTTATTTTTCTCGGCGCAGCAATGGCTGTGGAATCCTCATTTATTTCCGAGGGCATTACAGATGTTCACTTTGTGCTAGTCCCATCATCCATTGCTGGGAAGATTGCCTGAAACCTTCTCCTCAAACTAGCTGTTATCTATAAATCGCAAGTTTAATTAGCCACTTTATTACATTCAAAGAATTTGAAATTCGTAGTCTTTTTGTTTTTGACTTTGTATTGTTCTATGGTATGGATGGAAATTCAATAGCGGCCAATTTTCACAAGCCATAACGAAATTTGACGTCATGCAGTTATCTCTGTTTAGTGTGCATCAGTAGACTTGACGTAGCACCCTTCTCCTGACCAGCCAATGGAACTGAAGCGTCAGATGGATAATTTATCGATCAAGTGAGACTATAGTGCACAAGTCTTGCGAACGGGGCCCCATATCTAATAATGTATATTAATATATATATAACTTATCAAAGTAATAAAAAAAAGGAAAAAAGAAATGAATAATTACCACTTTTTAAAGCTTGTAGCAAACAATGGAGTAGGAAAAATAATTTTTTTCTTTTTAAAAGAAGCTTACCGATATTGTTATAATTTTCAGTTGACACAACAATCAGTCTCGCTCTCAATGATTTCTTAGCAATCAGTGTTGAACCACTTCTTACGACTATTCAGTTTATCACCAAATAGAGGTATCAACCATGAGTTGGAAAGGACTGATAACCTATCACTTCGAGTCTTGAAAGGTTCACCTAACAAGCATTAGCTGCTCACCTGACGAAGACGTTTTGAGTTATCTCGTCAGACGAGCGGCCACGTGACTTTACATGTCATTCTTTACCGTGAACAGTGTGTCTGTTGGAAAATGAAGAGTTATTTATTTTCGCTTGCTTCTTTACTAACCCTTTGATTTCAATGTGTTGTTCGGCACTTCTCCCGAAAAGCTGCTCTTACTCCCTTTATTCAGTTATGTCAATATAACACTCTTAGACTGAAAATCTTGTCTATTGTCAAAACCTCAAATACATTCATGTTGATATGCGGAGCCACTCATGCTTCGTTGCCACCGTGTAGTTCTGCTTAAGTTCTTTAGCTATTACTCGTATTCGATAAAATACTTCACTACACCTTAACACTACACCTTTCCATTTCACTACCCAAGCGACAGAGGACTTTCTCTCGGTAATAAAATAAACCCTATGAACTTTAAAGTCTCCTTCAGCCCACCTGTCTCATCATCTACAAACCATTTATGTTTTTTTCTGCTGTTATTTTACCGATGTTAATGTTCCTGCAAAAGAAGACAAGATTTAAAAGGAAGCTAAAATCGTTGCAACAGTTTTTGGTCTCCCTCTGTGTAATTATTATTTGTTGTACACAACTTTATTGCACGAAACTCACAAACACTACTTAAAGCACTTTGTTAATAAGCTTTCACATTAGAATTACAATCTAATTTGTAAGGCAAATTTGCGGAGAAATTGAATCTATTAAAATTGATAGGCGAATACTACTTCACTATTACGAAATTAAACAATTTAGAAAAAAAATTTAAATGTCTAGTACGCAATAATACCATGACCTCACTGTTCTTTTGGGCAAAGCTTAAAATACTGAAAGGCGAATGAATTCTGGATCAAGACGGATTTAGAAACACGCAACACACGAACAATCCTTTACATTCACCATACACTACAGAAAATAACCGAGGCCCCTACAAAAAAATAGCGAGAAATGGAATCTTTCAAAACTGGGCAAAAAATTTGTGGGAACTATTCCATGTACTGAAATACGAAAGGAACAGAAGTTAGCACATCGTGATTGCAATGAATCGAAAATTGTAAAGGATTTAATAGTCTTAAGGTCTAATCAGCCGTGTAGACCAAAAATACAAGCTATACCACGAACAATATTAATCCTAAATTTCTTTTTTTCTATTTTAGACATATTCAAATCCCGAAAGATCTGTATAAGAACACTTCCAATTCGCACGAGCTTGTCCCTTGCTCTTTAAGAGAATCTACCTTTATGAAATCATTGCGAATCATTTCGTCCCCTTTCTAAAGAGTGATCAGTTACCGTAAATCTTTAGGTAAAGAATATCAAGGGTGCCCCTTACTCTTCACAGGTGGGGCAGTGAAGCAGGAGGAGGGGGGTGATCTGTTTATGTCCATATGTCACGCAAACTTTACCAATATTAGGTTAAGAGAAAGGACTGACAAATATAAGTTAAAGTACCATGAATCCCGCCAATTGATCAAAATTAAATGGGTAAGGCTTTTAAGTCTTTATTGCTCCCCCCCCCTCCCCCCCCCCCCTAGTTGCTAAAAACGTGCTGGTTATCACTTTTTTTTAAGTATTTCGTAACTCGACTTGCCCTCACGTGATGTACAGATCTCTGCGGGTGAAGATGTTTGAAATTGATTTTCCTGGGAAGTTTTAATTTGCAGCAGGCAAACGCATTGCTCATTTTGAGCAAGATGTCGCGCAAGTGCCAACACTCAGTCGGTTTGCTCTTTGCTTTCTTTGTTGTCATCTTCGTTTCTCCAGCAAGAGGAGGTATGTCGATACGGGTTTCCTTTATATAGTCATAAAATAGCTGAAAGGGATTATTGACGTGAAACATCTATTTTATACTGATAACAACGTGGACTAGAAAGAAAATAAATAAAGATAGAAACGGGGGGGTACTTAGATGCAATAGAACAATTTACCGGATCGCAAGATAGAGTGTGCATCATAAGTCCTGGACAACTGCAAACATGAATAACTAGTATTTCAATGCGTCTTTTTTTATTTCTTAAGAGCTCTTGGTCTCAAGGCCGAAAAGGAAAACATTACTTCTACCACACCAGGTCTGTTCGCATGCAAGAAGATCTCCTTTCAGTATCATTTCTATGGCGGAAAGCAAGTAAAAGTCTTTACCTCCGTTGGCCATACAAAGAAGAGCCATGTCCTCGTAATGGTGGCGCGATCTGGGTTGACGATGTCATTGAAAGTGGATTGACAGCATGCGTTAGAGACAGCTCTAACAGTACTAAGGAAGTGAACTGGATTGCTGTTCGGACCGCACCGTCGGGATCGCAAATAAACACCAAATTGCTGAGCTCTTGGACAACTGGGACGGAATGTGAGAGGATGGATTTCCAACAGGTAGAGTTGTGTTAATCAACGATTGATTAAACAAGCGTGCTTTCGAAAACAAAGGCACTTGACCTTCCATTAAACTCGCCGTATGCAATGTTCGATAATCTTTTATAACCCGCTAACCCTGTGCAAATCCTTACGCTTTCTCTGTTAAAGAAAAAAGCTCTTATCCTTTTGGATCTGAAAGATGTTAGCGTTGTTCCTTTCCAACCTATGTTTAATCCATAGCCTCACTGAACCCCATTTAATTTATTAAATATATTAACTCAATTTACAATTTCTTATCTTTAATATCATTATTTTTATCGTAATTATGATTACTATTACCGCTTGTCGTGATGTTTCCTGCAAATATTTAGATATGGTATGATTTATTTCCCTTCGAACTTCTCGCCCTTAAGTCTGTCGGCAAGGCCTTAAAAATGTGTAACGGATCCTCTGGTGTTTCAGCGTTTTTCATCTCTTCCAGCTATTTTCGTGACCGTCAGTCATGGTGTTACCAACCGAACTTAAGATGCCATGGCCTTGTGGGTTGAGGACTTGACAGTAGACAGCTTTAAGATTTGCTTGAGAGAAGCCAAGATCTTCGATGGTCCACACAAGAACCTAAAAATAGTAAGTAAACCCGAATTTTATAAGGGCTGTCAATGGAAGATTTATTAGGAGTATACAACCTTTTTCGGTGAAGAGAAGGGTTTTTTCTCTTTATCTTCTTCCTCTTTTTTTTTTTTTTAAGACAAAGTTAAATAAAGCAAAAAATAAAAATAAATAAAGTGAATGAGAAATAATTATCCTTTACTCTTACCATAAACATTGAAGCTGCCTCCTGGCCGAGAGAAACTCATGATGAGTAAAAACAAAGCTTAATATTCTAAGATTATAAAAGGAACTCTGAAAATGCGTATTTGATTCACAGAATTGGATGGCTCTCACTGACATCACCATAGATAACTTTACCCTTATAAATAGTTTGGTATTTGCCAATACAAATTTGCTATCTCCGCGGCATGATTACGCCTTTTGTCAAGTAAGTCATATTAATACGGGTCGTCTTCTCTTTATTGGATCTCAGAGTATGCGTGAGTGTCATCGTTTTGCATCGCTTTTCCTTTAAATTACCCAACCTAAGTCTGGATTTTTTTTACCGTGACAAATATCACGCACTTAGTCGCTCCCAAGAAAGTATGTCCTTGGAGCAGTTCTACTCTGTGTACTTGTTACAATAAGTATATATATCATAATTTTATTATTACTACAATTGTTATCAATTAATTATTGTTATTATTGTTTTATTTTTTTTTTTTACAATCCAGACTGTAAACTTCACAGAGCCTTTCTATGCTCCCCTAGTCGTGTTGATTACTGCAAAGCGAACCACTAATTACCTTCAATCCGGGTTTCGATGCAACGCTGTCACCAGCTGGGTCGAGGTGAGTAATGTGTTTTATTATTGATATGGCCCAGACTGTAAACTTCACAGAGCCTTTCTATGCTCCCCTAGTCGTGTTGATTACTGCAAAGCGGAGCACTAATTACCTTCAATCCGGGTTTCGATGCAACGCTGTCACCAGCTGGGTCGAGGTGAGTAATGTGTTTTATTATTGATATGGCCTCGAAAGCAAAAAATTGAAAAAATAGAAACAAAGAAACAAACAAAAACTGGACTATGATCACTATGTTACCATATTGAAATGATTTCCCTTCATTTTTTCTCTGTATTTAGTACACATCTAAAATTGAAGCTCAGATTTGCGTCAAAAGGTTTAACAGCGATTCCAAAGATAAGGATGTCATCACCGTCGACTACATGGTGACTGGAGGTGAGCAGAAAGTTTCACAGTTATCTTCATGTCTCAGAGTCCCGGATGAGAGTTATTGCCGATTGCTCCTGAATATACCATATGCTAACTAGCATATTGTTGATGGAAACCGAAATATACCACGGAATTGATCCGGCATTAAATTCTTTAACTTTATGAACGAAGAAGAAAAATAAAAAAAATAAAATAAAGATGGAAGGAAGCACAATGAGAGGTTGAAGACCCTGTGAGTACAGGAGAAAGATTTGAGCTTCAGTCCTCAATGGGACTGAAGCTCAAATGGAGATAACAAAACTAAAGAAATTTGTAGCACATCAGAGGAACATTTTTGCGAGCTTTGCTTCACTGTTTCGTAGTTTTATGTATAGTTTTTTTGACTTTTGAGATAAATATCCTAAAGTTTGTCGAATTCACGGGGGAGCATTCTATACAGTTTTACCGGCGTGGGCTGGGGTATCTCGGGCTTAAGGATCAGTCATCACGTACCGAGGAATGGGGGGATGGGGTGGGGATGTGGATGACAATTTTTTGGGGGGCAAGAACACTTGGTTTTCAGGGGCAACAAGAGGGGATTAGTGGTTGCCAACAGAGCAAGACTTTTGAAAATTGACCATCTAAAAACTCGATGAGGAGGGGAGGAGGGGGGGGGGTGATTGAATATTGTAGGCTCACCTAAATCTTATAGTGGCACAAAGAAACCAACATCCTACACACCCATCCATCCCCTCCTTACCCTGACGAGAAACGATGATCGGTTCCTGGTTCGCGTATGTTTGTATTTATGTTCCTTTCATTAGTAAAGTTTTCACTAAATAGTCAATCGTTATATACTGCCAAATTTATTTGTGTACTTAATAAATATCAATTGCACCAAAATTGATTTATACGGTTCAGGCCTCCTTACCGGTTAATTGATCAATCAACTTGAATTTAAGACAAATAATTTTTCCATAGAATAACAATAATGCCAGAAATGTCTCGTTAAATATCATTAATCAAGCTAAGTCTGTGGTTTAGAAAATTACTTAACAGCTGGACGAAGAAAAAAGCATAAATACAAATTGAATTAATTTGAATCAGCTACAGCCTAAGCAACATAACTGAAGCTGTTTACAAATTCATATAGTATTTTCCCATTTCATTGGCAAGAGAAAAGTTCAAGGTCCACTGATTACTCTCGATCCTGCGCAGGAATCCCAGTATCATTGTGACTTTGACGGGCTTGAGAGTTTCCTCTACTGTCACCTGGCCTTTGATTAAATGCATCTGGAAGGAGTTTTTGGACTCTTCTTTTGAAACGCCCCCTTATCTAAATACGAATAAGGTCAAATTAGGGGCACTTATTATTTGTAACCAGTTTTCTTGATATGAATTACAGAGACTCAAAATTTATATTTACCTCACTATTTCCCAAGCAGTGAAAGAAGAAAATGAATAATCCCTTTAAAGAAATAAAATATGACTTTATTGCTTGATAAATAAACAAATAGGCAAATGTATGCAGAAAAAAAGTAGCTTTACCCTTTTTGTCTTTTTTTGTTTTGTTTTTTTTTTTCTGTGGTGAATGTAGGGTTGTGTTTTCTAGAACAACTCCGCTGGAGATCTCCTTTCCTTATCATCTATGATCGATTACTTATTTGAGGCTTATTTTTCCGAATACAATTCTATCCGTCAGAAGTAATCGATTCATGGTGACTTAAGCAGAGCTTTGGAGATAAAAATGCAATTTCAAAAGGAAGGTTTAAATGGTCTTGAGTCGGCTTTTTTTCCGGAGAGTCACGGGTCTGGCGTCTAAAAAAGAAAATCTGAATTATCTTTCGATATGGAGACGCTTTTCAGTATTTCTGACACACATCACGAATGAATTGAGGCAAAAAATGACAACATTATCACCTATATGTGGGATGCATGAACTGTTGGTATTCCCCAACAAGCAACGCCAATCAAATTAAATTTAAAAAAATAATAACAGATAACGAAAGAGTAGCGTATATACCTGCGCGTTCTTAAAAACCAATGTGATGTTTTCTGCTAGAACATTGAGCGGAGAGTCTATTACAGCGGACATAACTACACTGTCTAGTATCCTGAAATAAAGCAAATTGAATGATCACAAAACAGTAAATTAATTTTTTTTCTATTTGTTTTTCAGTTGTCAAATAAGTTATACATACTTTGTTTTGTTATCTCCCTCAGTGTCAGCTGAATAGTTTGAAAAAAGCTTAGCAAGGTTGCTGTACTCGAGCCCAAGTACTGTGGATTCTGTTCAAAAAGGTAAATGAGAACTGCATTGATTTCGGCCTCCAAAGATGTAATTTTTTTGAAAAATGACGATGGCCTTTAAATGCTCTGGGCACTAATGTCATAACAGGCAGCTAAATCATGAAAAAGGGCAATATGCAATTTTTTTTTTTTTAAAGCATAAAGTTTCTTTGTAATGACGCCCAAAAAAGAGAAGCAAAAACAAAAAAAAGAAAAAGAAAAAGAAAGAGACTCGTGAAATTTCAAAACAGAGACCGATTTGGTCCAAAATGAAGGGAAAAGCTCACTGCAGTAAATGCACACTACATGTGTATTACATATTTGGTAATGCACGTCGGAATGAAATCATTTCCACAGAAGAGTTGGCCAAAAAATTATGGGCAATCGTCTGATAAGAAACTGACTCAAAACAAAGAAGGCTTTTTACTTCGATCCAGATTAGCTGACGGAACCTTAATAAAGTTCCCGCGATTACTTCCATGGAACAGAAAGTCATCCCCTCTCTGTAGGACATTGCGTCTAACTCGAAAGTCTATATTGATTAAAAAAAAAAAAAAAAAAAAAAAAAAGCAAAATGGTACAGCTTCGACGTATATTTTCACTTGTCTACAAAGTACGACTGCATAGAGGTGATGAGCATAATTAGGCAATGACCCACATGACTAGAGTGTGTTCAGTTGCATAACCTCCAACCAATGATTTCGCATGCAATTATTTCTCTTGAGAATTGAAAGCCACAGTTAATGCTTCTGATACAGCACAGGGAAAAAGAAATTCTTCTTCAGTTTTAGCTAATGTAAACGATAGTGGTACTGGCTCTTAATGTACACGTAATGCTTGCCCGAACTCACAAATGAAAAAGTTCTCCTCCAAAAAAGAAAAGAGAGGAAAGACTATTTTGCACTTACTCAGATCTTTATCGACATCAATAAGTTCGGGACTTGTAACGCCCAGCCGCTTTCTAGCAAAGCTTACTATAAAGCTCTCAAAACGGAACGAAGCAAAAAAACTAAGTAAGTTTGAAACCAGCCAATCAAGCCGCAAAAACAAAAACACAAAACAAAACAACAACAACAACAACAACAACAAAAAAAACAATCAACTCATTAAGTTATCACTAAGCGATCAATAAAAAGCAAACTGAAACACAAGCTAAAAAAAAATAATGTTAGGTGAGATAAACATTGAAACTGCTGCTACACCATCATCTCCTGTGCGTCGACGGTGTTTTCGGTGTTTTTAGTGCCTCCATTCTGTAGCAAAACAAAACAAAACAAAACAAAACAACAACAAAAAAAACCGTTCAATCAATTAACTTATCACTAACCGATCAATAAAAAATAAACTAAAATACATGCTAGGTAAGCATAACGTAAGGTGAGATACACATTGTGAACATTGTAAACATTGTAACAATGAACTTATTAACTCATCACTAACCGATCAATGAAAAGTAAACTAAACTAAAATACAAGCTAACAAACAGAATGTAAGGTGAGATAAACATTGAAACTGCTGCTACACCATCATCTACCTGTGAGTCTTCGGTGTTTTCGGGACCACTGACATCACTGTTAATGCCTCCATTCTATACCAAAACAAAACAAAACAAAACAAGGAAAAAAACCAATCAACCAATTAACTTATCACTAACCGATCAATAAAAAGTAAACTAAAATAAATGCTAGGTAAACATAACTTAAGGTGAGATATACATTGTGAACATTGTAACAATGAACTAATTAACTCATCACTAACCGATCAATGAAAAGTAGACTAAACTAAAATACAACCTAAGAAACAGAATGTAAGGTGAGATAAACATAGAAACTGCTGCTACACCATCATCTACCTGTGAGTCTTCGGTGTTTTCGGGATGAGTGACATCACTGTTATTGTTTCCACCCTTTAGCAAAAACACAAATAAACAACAACAACAACAGCAGCAATCAACTAATAATTAACTTATCACTAGCTGATCAATCAAGAGTAAACTAAAATAAAATTTAAATAAACAGAACATGAGTTGAGATACACATTGTAAACTTTTAAACATTACAGCAATTAATTAATTAACTTATCACTAACCAATCAATCACAAGTAAACTAAATTAAACAGAATGTAAGGTGAGATAAACATTGGAACTGCTGCTACACCATCATCTACCTGTAAGTCCTTTAGCGAAAACATAATGATTTGAACTGTTGTGGTTACGTGTTGTGAAGCCCTTAATTTACTTTCTATGCCCCCACAGCCTTGTAAAACTTAATTGAAACCCAGAATCTTATAGAAAACAATCGATCTAACAGCTTACCGTAGTATTATGGGTTAGATGAGTTGTAAAGACTGTTGCTCCAGTTGCTTATGAAAAATTCAAGGGGATAAAAAGCTGCAAATCAAAATTGTATCATACGAAAGGACTAACGGAAGGTGATACTTGTACTTTTATTAGGAATTTTTAAAAGGGCTTGACCACTTCTACTCAATTGCAAATTACATTGTTTTGTTGTAGAATTTTGAGCAGCCTATAGAAACTGGGCGAAAGCAAAACTTAGCGCCTTCCATAAGATAGGTTGCAGTATTCCTGACTTCTTTTGACTGATAAGGTGTTGCAAAAACTAGGCACATACTGGCAACGCTAAACAATTACTCAGCTTAAAATAAAGCAAGTGATTACAGTGAGTCAATCTTCTCGATAAATCACGACTTTCTGTTCCCTAAAAATTACTCACTTGA